ATATATATATATATATATATATATATATATGTATAGTGGTAGCCTAATGGTTTGACCTACTGCCTCTCAAGCAGAAAGTCGAGAGTTCGAATTCGAGCTCGCACCTCTGAGTTACTCGAGAATTTATGTGCGAAATTTAATTTGATGTTTATGAATGATGAAATCTGCACGTTGAAGAAGGTTCACAACACTCGGAAAACGTGTGATGTCCCCAACCCGCATTGGGCCAGTGTGGAGGACTATGGCCTTAAACCCTTGTCTGAAAGGAGACCCGTGCCCAGCGGTGGGTAAATAGGTTGATGATGATGATGATGAATAAGCTATATCTGACATTGAATTTATTGCGAGGAACATTAAACAACCAATTACGCATTGGTAAGGATAACATTCACCGGATTCATTACTTTTTAATTAATTATTTTTACCTTTATCCAACTTATTGTTCTCCTGTGGGGTCGACATAATATGCTTACAATTTTGTATATTAAAACGTGTCAAAATTGTTTCAATATACGTTTTTTTAACTGCCTCCGTGGCCGAACGGTTACCATGCCGGACTGCCATGCAGAGGTCCTGGGTTCGATTCCCAGGCCGAGAGAAATATGTGTATGGCCTACATTTATTTCTCTCGTGAGTTTGGGTGTAATTTGTGGTTGTCTACGTGTGTGTCCATGGCACCCGCGACACAGGGTTTCCCTAGTGTTGAGTGTGTGCGTGATTATTATTATTATTATTTTTGACTTACGCACATTTTGTCATCCTTTCCCTTCACATTCAAAACTAAACAGTAATCTAATTTTAAAGTCTTAGAAATATTTTCGCAATTCTGTTTTGACAGTGACGAAAGACGATTTTTATATAAAGATCTTAGACTATGGAAACCAAATAAACCCTACATTATTAATATTTTTTCCCTCCTAAGGACTATTCTGATCTTAGAGGATGGAAAGAATATTCTGATATAAACAGCTTGGCTGACAGTTTGGTAACCAAACTTTTTTAACTGTGCATTTATGCACAGTTCCGAAGAGGTTCGTATGAAACCTATAAAGGACAATGTTTGGTTTAATTTATTCTTATAGGATGGAATTTATTATTCCAAGCTCGAGCTGCTTGCTTTAAACTATAGAGCGATCGTTTCAACAAGCAAACTTTTGCTTCTTCACCATCTTTGACGAAACCTTAAGGTTGTTGCATGTAGACTTCCTCTTCCAGTTCACCATTTAGGAACGCTGCATGTTCAAGGCTGTAGCATTTTAATACCCATTTCTGCCACTAAAGTGATAAGAGTACCTTCGTAGAGATGAATTTCGAACAACTGGTAAGCAACACCTGAAACTTGAGTAAAGCCTTTAGCAAGGTTTCGTGGTAATCAGCACCTGAAACTTGAACTTGCATAGCATACTGCCAGCTTGCACTATCTTCTGCTTTGATAGCTTCAACAAAACTTTGGGGCTCAGCAGGTTCACATGATACAGCAGCATTGCAATCAAAATGATGACATTTTTCTTAACTATTCTATTTCGAAGTGGATACCGTTGTTCAGGCTTTACCATAGTCTGTTCGGTTTCATACTCTTAGTCAGAAGCATCTTCGACGCTAACAAAATCTGAAACATTGTGACCTATTGTTAGCTTCAAGTCATTAGTGTTTTCTTCATTTACGGCATAGTATTCTGCTCCTTCCTATGAATAATTTCCAAAAAAGATTCGTTGTGGGTAGCCAGAGGAACTGATGGATTTTTTTACCTTTATAACAGTGAAAGACTCTTCAAAGAACTCCACATCTCGTCCTTTATCTAACCTTCTTCGATTACTTGGATCGCGAAACAAGCAACTTTGTCGGTCGTCTGAATATCCGACAAAAATGTATTGCGCAGCCTTTGGATCTTACTTCTTTCTCAATAGATCTGGAATCTTCACCATCCCTCGACAGCCAAAAACTTTTAAATGAGGTTTGGCTTTTTGGCATAACTCATAAACGTCTTTCCGTTGAGAGCTCGATGCGAAGTGTTCTAAGAAGACAGCTGTTTCTTTCGTAACTTTTTGAAAGAGAACTGTCTGAAAACATACAACGCTCTTTTTCTATTTAAATACCGTTCTGTTGTGCGTTGTATGGCACTGTGGTTTGATGCTTAATACCCTTTCTGCCTAAATATTAAGAACTCTCTATTTACATACACAGTCCCACTATCGGATCGCAAAGATTTAATGTTCAAACCCATTTCTCTGTCGACCATTGACTTAAACATATAAAAGCTGTTAAAAAAAACTCATTTTTAGATGAAATACAATATATAAAAACCATATGGCTAAAATTATCTATAAAAGTAAAAGCATTTATTCCCTTGAAAAGATTTTCCAGACATTGGACCAATTGGCCCACAAAAATCCGAATGTATAATTTCCAATTTAGATGTTGTCCTTATGTGCTATACAGATCTGAAAGGTTTTTATCTTGCTTACCTTCTATGCTTCTGTGCGCGCGATGCAAATAAACTCGGTGTACACTACGTACGTAGATTATCCTTTTTAAGTTTGTCTAATCCTATGCGGCATGAGTGACCAAGTTATGCCATAAACGTAAACTGGTTACATCACACTATACGTCGAACGCTGATAAGGGTCTACTAACCGTACAATCCAGCGAATATAATCCACCACAACAGGACCCATGTAAAACTGCATCACCTGTATTGTATTAAAAAATGTACAGCTTTTCGTATCGAAAACAACACAAAAACCATTCTCAACTTTATTAACTGAAATCAAATTAGTATTTAGAACAAACACTACATCTGAAATTTTTGTGACTTTACTCTCACTTTCCGCTTTAGACGTATTTAAAATAAGCAAATCGACTGTTGTTGCACTTGATAATGTCTCAAAAATTCTTTATTATTTACTAACCATTCTGATCATCGAGACATAATGTGCACTAGCTCCAGAATATACGTACCATTTGTCAAAGGAGATTTCTTCAGCACCCGCATTCAATCCACCAAATAAACTTGAGAGTTTGTTCTTGTCCATGCTCAAACCTTCGTCTTTGGACTTTGTGTTGAGTGAACATTCCGGTTTGACGTGTCCAGGCTTCTTGGAATTGTAGCAAACTACTCCTCGTACCTTGCTATTTTGCTTTAAATGCACACGTACCTAAAGCTGCGTCTGAACTAGAACCTTCATCATTCACAGTCGATTTCGAAAATTCTGTTAAAAGTTTCGTTTTTACGAGCTCGCTTGTAACGGTACTCGTAGGGTTCTCTAAAGCCATGATTAGGGGATCGAAGCGCGGCGTCAAGCCCCCTAGAAAAATCGCTGCGACAGAGGCATCTTCAATGATTTTGCCTATGTCCGCCAAATCTTGAACAGTGAACATCGCAGCATTTATATATAACGTGTGTGATTGCCGGACCGTCTAATGTTATTTAAACAAGTTTTTGCCAATGTAACTACGTCATCCTTTTTCCAAAAATGTTTGAAAATATTTTTCTTATTACAAACTTGAATCTTTTTTCCATAACGAAATTTTTTTTCTATGACAGGCGGTATGTAATCAGACATTCTGCGACTGTGCGGGCTTGAAAGGGGATCGTGGCGATATGGGACCGCCGGGCGTTCAGGGCCCCCAAGGGGAGTACGGTGACGATGGCCCGGAGGGTCGTCTAGGCGCGCTCGGTGAACCCGGCGATTGGGGTGAACGAGGAGACACCGGAGACAAAGGAGAACGAGTAAGCAATACACTAAAAATTTCAAATTACTTAGATAAGTAAATTTTTTTATTTAATTCAGTTTTTTTTTAGGGTCCTGAAGGGCCGTATGGATCGCGAGGCTACACAGGATCGCAGGTATGAGGAAATCATTTAAATTATCTGGTTCACTAAAAATCCATCTAAAAATAAGTAAATACTATGTATGCATGTATTTGGTACAATAAAGCATTTAAATGTACAAGATGGTACTACGTTCGTAGATGTATCAATATGCAGATTTAAATATTTCACATTTTAGGGTCCTTCGGGTTTGGAAGGTGTCAGGGGTCTTCCAGGTATGGATGGTTGCAGTGGTGTGGATGGTGTTGAAGGTCCACCAGGTGTTGTCGGTCCTCCTGGAGATAGAGGACTACCAGGGCCGTTTGGCGAAAAAGGCATGCAAGGTTTGGCAGGAGAAGGAGGATCGAACTCCAGAGGTGCAAAAGGGGATCAAGGTGTTTTCGGATACACTGGCCCGCCAGGCCAACCAGGGCCAATGGGTTACAGAGGAGATAGTGGGAGACCTGGCGAAGAAGGAGACCAGGTAAATTTACATGTTATTATACATATAGATGCCGTGTAATTTTACGGAAATTAGAAAAAAAAATTGCACAGAAATGAGAATAATAAATTATTTCAGGGATTACCCGGTTTTCGCGGAGAAATTGGCTACAAAGGAGACCCCGGTGAGGATGGTGATTTGTTGCCAGGACAGAAAGGTGAACCAGGACCACCCGGTGAACCGGGAAAACTAATACCAACCATTTGGCCTACTGATAAATTCCATGCAAATAAGACGGTTATCATTAAGGGAGACAAAGGACTAAAAGGGTGGATTGGCCCGCAAGGAGTTAAGGGAATTAAAGGAGAAAGAGGATCTAGGGGACCACCGGTGAGTTGAACTGTTTACAAACTTTAAGTCCATCGATCAGTACATATTTTTAATAGTTCTATATAATGTGTTCCATAACACACATTTATTGACTTAATTATTATAGGGACCATTTGGACTTAACGGCCAACAAGGTTATAAGGGCGTCCAAGGAGAAGATGGTCCGAGAGGAAAACCAGGTCATAGGGGTAGCATTGGGCCTCCAGGCCTAAAGGGTGACAAGGGAGCTCCAGGATATGAAGGCCAATCTGGAGAAGACGGTTTGGCAGGAAATCCTGGGGAAGACGGACGACCTGGAACACCTGGAGTTCAAGGCCCAGAGGGAGAACCAGGCATATATGACGAAACTTTAGATGAACCTTTGTTACCTGGAAGTCCAGGACCTCAAGGTCCACTAGGTTTTCGAGGCCGTAAAGGAGCACCAGGTATAGATGGTTCACTTGGCTACCCTGGTCTAATGGGACCACCAGGATACCCCGGCAAGGTAGGCTTTCCTGGAAGGATAGGAAAGCCAGGTACATCACGAAAAGGAGAACCAGGTAGCGATGGTTTTAAAGGATTGCCTGGTCAACGAGGACCGATGGGAATACCTGGTATTCAAGGTCCGCTGGGGCCAAAAGGGTTTCAAGGATCTAGAGTAATAGGTCCTATTGGAGAGGATGGTCAACCTGGTATCAATGGCTTCGATGGTGCACGAGGTGACCGGGGCGACATAGGTGAGCCGGGTCGATCTGGATTACCTGGTAAAGGTTTTGAAGGCACGGGGCTCCCAGGACTACCAGGTCCACCCGGGCGACCAGGAAATCCTGGTGAACCTGGTACTTCTGGACAACCAGGTTTCCCTGGAGTAAAAGGCAAACGTGGTGATGATTGTCCATATTGTCAATCAGGTAACTAAACACTTTTCAGTAACGTTAAGTAATTTAAAGTATCACTAGAACAACCAAGAATGATAATTAAAACAGTGATCAAAAGTAATATTCTTCTGATTTCTACCTAAAGAAGCAATTTTTATATGTTTTGTGCCTTTAAACTCAAATGGACGTTTTACGAAAGAGATCTAATTATAAGTAAAACCGGATGGAATTCATATTTCTACTAAGTTAAGCTATAGCTATATATAGTGCGTGGACTTCAGATCCTAGTAATACTTAGCATAAAATTGTGTACCTATTATATGTAGACACTTGATAAAGTGATCAATGTCCATTTTAGGATTTCCTGGACCTATGGGTTCAAAGGGCGACAGTGGATTCTCTGGTTTAAAAGGATTCAGAGGATATGAGGGTTTACCTGGACCTAGAGGAATAAAAGGAGTTGCAGGGACACCTGGCCAGAAAGGAATCCCAGGCTTTAAAGGGAATAAAGGTGCACAAGGAATGCAAGGAATTATGGGAGTTAGGGGACGCGATGGCGTACTGAAAATGCCACCTTTACCGTTAACCACAGGGCCTCATGGAGATAAAGGTGCGTAAATCTGTACATCGTGACACTAATTTCGAATATAATATTTCATTGTACTAAACTTAAGATTTTTGTTAGGTTTCCCTGGATCCGCTGGATTTCCCGGTGATGCAGGTTGGCCTGGTTATCCTGGCGACCTGGGTCGCCAAGGTATGAGAGGGTATATGGGTGCAATGGGCTTTCCGGGTCGACCGGGAAATAACGGAATACCTGGGCAAGATGGAATACCTGGACGAAAGGGAGAACCAGCTCAAGTCAAAATACAGTTTTTAACTGGTCAAAAAGGAGAACCTGGTTTAAGGTTGGTAATGTGTTTATTTTTGTTGAAATAACGAAATTAGTTTTACAACTATAATAAATGGCGAAGAAAATATATGTACCTACAAGAAGTACAATAATTATTTTATTAAGGAGTACCCTTAGAATAATAACGCATAGAATCATAGTTTCATATCAAAAGAACTGTCACAAATGAGGCAAAAATCAAATTAATGTGGGCGTAAGCAACTTGTATCTACGCTCGTCGGCACGCACACAAATATACAAATAATGATGCCATGGAATAACATTTCCCTCAAAAGTGGGGAAATTGTATCTTGCTTAACTCATCATTAAGTTAAAGGTGCCTACAGATTTGCCCGACATTGTCGATCAGGTGCCTACAGATTTGCTCGATTTTGTCGATCGTTACTGTCGATCGACAATGTCGATCAGGTGCCTACAGATATGCTCGGTTTTGTCGATCGTTACTGTTGATCGACAACGTCAAGTGACAGGAATTTTCAAAAATTTATTTTTGGTAATCCTTATGGAAATGGCATTTATATCTGAATACACGATGACGGACACGACTTTTCAAATAAATGCAATCAATAAAGGGTATCATTTTCGAGGTATTTGGGGGTGCTCATTACAAATATGGCACTCATTTCTAAGTCCAAGATGGCGGGCACGATTTTTCAAAAAAATGCTATATGGGTGTCATTTTCGAGGTATTTGGGGATGCTCAATGTGAATATGGCACTATTTATAAATCCAAGATGGCGGGCACGAATTTTCGAATAATGGCAAGTTGGGTATTATTAATTTTCGGTGTCAATGGTTTTAGTGAATATTTATATAAAAATACAAGTTGAAACGCGTTACTTCCTTGTGGAATGTGATGTTAATATCTATTTTATGTTTGTCTGACGTATTTTTACACTCATTTACCGCACATTTCGTCATTTTTAGCTAAAATTCTTGAGCTGTTCGCGATGCAAGTTGACCTTGAGCACTGACGGCCTGACCGCTTGTGTAGGCCCATTGGGAGCGCTTAAATTTTCCTCACTTAGCGTGTGCGGACAAGGTTTCTATGCGTTATTATTCTAAGGGAGTACCTTAATTTAAGTAAGTATAGTAAGTCAAAGTATCATTTATTCCATAGGTAAAATAACTTTACACTTGTAAACGTCACATTTAAGCTACTTCTCGTTCACTACGCTGACTTCCCTGAGAAGAACGAGCAAGAAACTCTAGGGATTGGTCTTTCCAAATAAATGGTATGGAATACACTTTGAATCAAATTTGTGTGGATTCTGGAGCCATGTCGTCTTTCCATACATCTTACACGTAGTCTTCAATTTTGTAATATCAAAATATTTTTAATGTAGTTTTTAGACTCATGATATGATAATCTTAATATATGCTCCGAAATCTTATTGCATAAACGTATACAGTTCCCCATAAAAGAGTCGTTTACCTTGGTGAAACGAAACTTGTGGTACCATGAGTTTGGACTTAGCTCTAAGTTAATATTATGGATATTTTCTTTCTTATTGAAATTATGTATATTTTTACGGGCATATAAAATATTATATAGTCTATGTACAGTGATACCAGTCATGATACCAGCTCCTTAAACTTTTCTCTGAGGAAAACCCGAAAGCCTAAACACATAACGAACCGCTCGTTTTTACAATACAAATATATAGCTTGATTTTGATTGCCTCTCCCGATCGGAAACAGCGTCTTTTCCGAGTCGAGGCGTATAATATTGCGGGTGGGCTACCCGGTCGGATCGGTTCCGATTTGAGTTAAAATCAGGGCCCTGGTTTAAATAACCGCCGTAAATGGTAATAACGTAAGTAACTGGTAACACAGTACAATTCGATTTATTTTTGAGTTTCACAGTATTTATTTCGTCTTACTCCTCTTGCTGAGTTCAATACATTTACATATTAACATGATTAACACCTATGAATTCACTGCGGTGTCCATAGTTATAAAATTTTATTATTTCTGTTTAATAAAGCCCGTTTCACGTGTTATTTCAGCATCATAATAATCTAAAAGTCGAGTTTAAAGCGGTTCTACACACAAAAAAGTTGATTTAAGTCAGTTCGTGTTAAAATTACTGTCTACGCTGCCGCTGCGATAAGCTTTTTCCGGTGGCACCGTTTTCCAATCTCATGAACCGTGGCATCTAGCTTAGATCTGATGGCACCGAAAAAGTCGTGATTTCTTTGGTTCTAGTGCAAAAATCTAGAATTAATCACTCTTTTGATCAAAAGATGTTAGAGATTTAGATGTTTCTTTGATAGCAAAAGTTACGTAGAAAAATCATTATGCTTTTCCACTTGTTCTTTGTAGGTTCGCTTAAAATTGTATTCACTTAGCTGCCTTGGGCTCGGTGACGCGATATGCAAACAACCTTATTAGCAACGACTCTCTTGTGCAACAGAAGCTTCAAAATTACATGTCAAATGGGTCTATAACAGAGCTACACAGGACGATGAAGCACATTGCCCTCACTTATGTGCTGTCCTTAGAATAATAACGCATAAAATGATAGTTTCATAAAAAACGAACTGTCACAAGTGAGGCAAAAATCAAATTCATGTAGGCGTAAGCAACTTGTATTTACGCTCGTCGGCACGCACACAAATATACAAATAATGATGCCATGGAATAACATTTCCCTCAAAAGTGGGGACATTGTATCTTGCTTAACTCATCGTTCAGTTAGAGGTGCCTACAGATTTGCTCGATTTTGTCGATCGTTACTGTTGATCGACAACGTCAAGTGACAGGAATTTTCAAAAATTTATTTTTGGTAATCCTTATGGAAATGGCATTTATATCTGAATACACGAAGGCGGACACGACTTTTCTCATTTCTAAATCCAAGATGGCGGACACGTCTTTTCGAATAAATGCAATATGGGAATCGTTTTCGAGGTATTCGAGGTGCTCATCACGAATATGGCATTTATTTCTAAATCCAAGATGGCGGACACGACTTTTGAAATAAATGCAATATGGGTATCATTTTCGAGGTATTTGGGGGTGCTCATTACGAATATAGCACTCATTTCTAAATCCAAGATGGCGGGCACGATTTTTCATATAATGGCAAGTTGGGGATCGTTTTCGAGGTATTTGGGGGTGCTCATTAGGAATATAGCACTTATTTCTTAATCCAAGATGGCGGACATGACTTTTCAAATAATAGCAAGTTGGGTGTCGTTTTCGAGGTATTTGGGGGTGCTCATTAAGAACATGGCACTAATTTCTAAATCCAAGATGGCGGGCACGATTTTTCGAATAATGGCAAGTTGGGTGTCGTTTTCAAGGTATTAGGGGCTGCTCATTCCGAATATAGCACATATTTCTAAATCCAAGATGGTAAAGAATTAGAAGAAGAAGAATTAGAAGTCTTGTCCCCCATCTTGTATTCAGATATACATGCCATTTCCTTATGGTTTACCAAAAATACATTTTTGAAAATTGTTGTCAACCATCTTGGATTTAGAAATTAATGCTACATTCGTAATAAGCACTCTAAAACTCCTCGAAAACGTCTATAATTCTCAATCGTTACTGTCGATCGACAATGTCGAGCAAATCTGTAGGCACCTTATTAAATACTACCCAATTCTTATTCAACTCATACGTGAACAAAAACCTACAAGCGAGTTTAAGTGCGACTATCGAATTTGAATATATAAATAGCCTGATATTATCTGTGGGTATGTTTATATGAAAAGTACACGATAACAATTAAGAACCTGAACCTGAAAGTTATTTATACACGATTTTGGAGAACTGACGATGACTTTTTAGTCAGTGTTAGTTTCCTGAAATCATTTTAGTTAAGAAGTTTTGAATCTGGGCAAGACATTTTTTTTAAATGAGTGTATGATGAACAAGAATAATGATTTTTCACATGAAACTAATGAAGGCAAATACTAAATATATTTCGTAAAAATAGCTAACGTAAATTCCCTACAATGTTGTTGCGGCGGTGTACATTTGTAGAAATTTGCAACTGTCGCGATATTGCCTATTCTCAAAAAATTACGTAATATAATTATTTTGAAACAGAATAGCAAAATGGGGAGAAAAAACCCGTTACTTTGCAACATTTTCGTATCTTGTTGCAACGAAATTAATTTTCTGTTTTAGTGAATGTTTACATAAAAATACAAGTTGAAACGCGTTACTTCCTTGTGGAATGTGATGTTAGTGTCTATTTTATATTTGTCTGGTCTATTTTTAAACCCAATCACCGCACATTTCGTCATTTTTAGCAAAAATGTTTGAGCTGCTCGCGGTGCAACTTGACCTTGAGCACTGACAGCCCGCTCGTTCGTGTAAGCCCATAGGGCGTCCTACAATTTGCCTCACTTAGCGTGTGCGAGCTAGGTTTCTATGCGTTATTATTCTAAGGTACTGTCATAGCACGCAATAGTTAAGAACACATTACATACAAATATACAAATGATGAAACAAAAGAAAGTAACAATACAGCACTTAAAGCACAAATTATGATGAAAGCCGACTTAGTTGTGACTTTTTAAAGTCAGATCAGATCTAAGCTAGGTGTTACGATCCTTAACATTGAAGTAAATTTATCACAGGGTGGACACTAAAACACACCCTTTGACTAACCACTTTTTGGCCACTCTATTAAAGTTTACCTGTACAAAAATTACACAACGCATATATTCATATTTGTACCTAAGTAGTTGAACCGACAATGGACAGTGCATCAATCATGAACATTTTTTAACTATACCGCCAAACATAAGGAAACGCTAATTATTTCTTTTCACTTTCAAAACTTTTTGTCATTTTTTATCAAAATGGAAGACATCAGTTAAATTTTTCCATCATCAATTTTACCATCTTTATTCGCCATTATCATGGTGCGAAATAAGACGGTGATAACAAATTTAAAATAAAACGGATTTCTTATTAGGAGCGCGCCTCACTTACTTTTTTTATAATCATATTTGAACGTGATATTTAAGAGTGTGGTGACTTCTGTGGTTATTTTATATATTGGTATTACTTTAAGCATCTAAACAAATAATTACCGTAAAAGAATAACATAATGTCTATTGGAAAATTTTAAGTGTTTATTACTGGATTTCATTAAGCTATTTATCCAATTATGAGCATTTTTGTCCATAATCGGATTTTATCATTTCTTTTTAATTTCATTTAGCTTTACTTGTGTTTACCATCTTTACAAAGCCAGTCTTTCAATTTAGTTTCTAACTTGTTACATTATTTTAAATCTACACAGTAATGGACACAGTGTCCGCCACTGGTGGTCCATTACTGGATTTGATTTTTTAGACATGGCACTGTAGCCACTGTAGCGAATGACCACCCATTGTTACCAGTCACAAATAGGTTATATGAAACGACACACCATTCGTTTAAGTACCAAGCAAGATCTCGTTTTTTAAGATTGAATTTGTTAATTTGGCTAAATAGTTGATCTGTTTAGGTGTCCATGATTGGAAACGGCCCACGGCGGGGTGTGCATGATTGAAAACCGTGCATGACGGGGTGTCCATAATTGGAAATTGGGCTGTCCATACAAGGTTACTCAAACAGGGTCTACTTTTTCTCAAATAACAATGTTTTCTTTATTAATTAATATGATTAAAGCACTTTCAATCGTTATTGGAAGACTTTTTAATCAATTAAACCTTTCCTTGAGTTCAACAGGATAACTCTTCAAAATTAAAAGACTAAAACAAAAAATAAATCCTTAAACCGCCCATGATTGGTTCCACTATCTTACTTAATATTTTAAATTTATTTCATTTAGAGGGCAGGTAGGCGAACCCGGTGATGATGGATTCCAAGGAGAAATAGGAGAAGCATCGGAAATTACAGCTAAACTCATAAAAGGCGAAAAAGGCTATCCTGGACGCGTAGGAGTAAAAGGTATGGAATATGGATAGATCTTTCACCTACTTACGACCTAAGTCCGGTGAGCGCGGGGGCTGTGAAATTCAAACCAGACGGCCGACCCTTCTGTCTGGGTATATAATATTGAAATATGCACTCCTCTTTGTGCATTGTGCACAGAACAGCCGTCATTTTGAAACCAAGACATGAATTTCTCAGAAGGGTCTCGTCCCCCTTTTTGAAACACAGAACCACCACGCCCACGCTCCATGTATCCGGTATAGTGCTAGATGCTAGTGTGAGGAACGGAGTTAAAACGGAGTTTGGTTAGCTCCTTTAATAAGGTAGTTCCGCCAGCCTTTATAGGCTCTGTCGTTAGTCCGTTCGAACCTTCTTATAGTCGATAGTATTGAAATGGATCTGTAACTAGTGAAGGCTGATTGTAAGCTCAGCATACCTTGTCCTTATCTCTGGCGTGGCTAAACAGTTGAGCGGCACACGCGACCCCAGTCTACTTTCGTAGGCTTTCCACAGCCATGACTTTTTTCTATGACCAGCTTTCCTTTTACCACCGACTTCTCCCAATGAGTTACAGGAACTCGTATGGTCGTGTCGAAAGCGCATGACCCAGATATGCAATTTTTCGCCGTTTCATTCTTTGATAAAGCTTTCGTTTCTGTGCAACTAGTCGTAGAACTTCCTCATTAGTGACTTTCTGAGTTTATAATATGTACAGACGGCAACACATCAAACTGTTCCGTTGCACTGGAGACGATTTTCGGACAAAAGTCTATAGCTTGATGTGCTGTTGACGTAGGTACATCAAACAATATTTGATTTTAAACTCGTCCGTTACGTTGAGGTAAATAAAATATGTTTTTATACACGATTGAGCCCTGCATTTAAAATCCAATATTGTGTGAAAATCGTGAAATTTAAATCAATGTACGTAGGTACACCATTCGTTTACATGCCAACATTTCGAATGCCTCTATACTTTTCCTGAGATGTTCTTTTATAATTTGAGACCGGGCAGCAAGGCCAGCTACCTTATTCGTTGTAGTTACAGGAAAACGTTTCTAGAAGACTATCCATGAATTTTGAAATATTTTGAAAAAATGGTACACTCAGCAACATAAGAGGTAATTTTTAACAAACTTTTTTGTGCCATTCGATCCGGTCTCCGGTTAGGATCAATAGTCTCTATGGTACCAACTGAGGTAAGAGTAGGTACTCGAAATGTCAGAAATCGCAAATAACCCTTTACCACAAATTTTAAATGAAAACTTGTTAGAAAAGAAACTGGCCACTACTCTACAAATAAGAATTAAGTAAAACCAAATTATAATCATATCATTATTTTTTAAATTTCGAACAGCTTCGTTTTGTTTTGTTAATAGCGAATTGTCACATTTAATACGATTTTTAATCAAAATGTTCTCAAATGTAGAACGCTTAGACTTATTGGAAGCGTACAAAGGACCTACCTACAAATGGACGTCGGGTCTAATACAAAAACCACGAAAAAAATGTCCGAAGTTAACCTATACAAACGTAGTGACATGTAACGAAATATAAAAAAACTAAAACATGTAATTTAATTTGTGACGTCATTGTAGTACTGCCTAATTTAGCTTGCAACAATTTAAAGGGCCCAAAAACACCACATTCAGCTTATATTGGAAGCTTAACAAAATGCACCATATTTAGCTTCGACTGAAAATTACTAGAACACAACTGTAATGGTGCAGCCTTTATTGTAAATATCGATTAATTTTTATGTAATTATTATGTCAAATTTTGTATAAATTCACTTCAAGAATACATACATATATTACAAATGTGAAAATAAGCGTGTGCTATAAGAAATCTACCATTATTCCAACTAAACGTAAACTCAAATATCCGTAATTCCGAAAACAGATTTATAATAAAACAGTTACGTTTTCAAGTAATTTTGATGCTTCTCACAAAGCCAAAATTAGCTTTTGTTTTGTAATATTCCTAAAAAAATACATTTGACTTTATGAAAATTCGAGCTAACGTTATTTAGGGCAAATGTATTTTGTGACTTCTGATAGGTTAGTAGTTAATTCCTAGTCGTAAGACGAGTACAACAATATTTTGTTAGTTATTGCTAACGTTTAATAAAAAGTCATTCTAAAAAATAAGATTAAAATCAAGACGACTCTATAATTTCTTTGTTCCAAATATTTCAATCGCTTATGGTTCGAATAATTCAAAATGACCAAGAAGTTTATATAAGCTTCTTGAAATTGACGTAATGGGTCTCTTTCCATCTTTTGCGCATGCAATGTGTAGAAAAATGACAGTTAGCTATTTGATTATTTTGTTTGCTTTTGTAATTCAAATTTACGAATTATTTATTTATAAATTAAATACTATACAACTGTACAACATAACACTTTTAAATGATAACTATGATAACACAATATATTTGTTTAGTGAAAATATGATACAGAATCCAGTTTTTACACTTTACTACAGTAATTTTTACAAGTTATTATATGGTACTGCATGATTGACAACCGCGCTGTCAGGTGAACAAACGAAGACTGTTGCGCGATTGACGCTCTGTATGCGATTTTAACGCCCTATAGGTGCGGACACTTTTTAGCGCGACTCCCGATGTCCATTTATTAGTAGGTCAATGAAACATACCTATTATTTAAATGGTACAAACTGTACAGCTGCTTTGGAGTGGTATAGAGTCAAATATCCTTTATTGGTACGGGAACCTCGTGTTCTCGAAGCTTTTCCTGACATATCTTCAAGAGAAATGGCCATCGAAGTGGGTATTTTGCACGCGTAAGTATGGAAGAAATAAGGATACAAATGTTATCGTCGTGGTCGAATAGTACCTACAAGCATTACATGTCGGAGATCTTAGAGCATATAGGAGTGGAGGCGTCATTGATAGGCAGCCCGCTCTGTCAAGGTATAAGCACAAAACAACCATCGCACAATAAACACTACTTTAAAATCGATGTTTTTTCATTTACATTATCGAATTCACTGCGTCAAGTGCTCCATAAAATATGTCGTCGTCTTGGGACATACAAACTTGCAAAAAAATCTCAGCTACGTCCAGTCTAACCCAGGATGTTAACTCCAATTTCTATCGATAGATTATGTAACGAAGTTTATTCAAATTTATTTCTCCGTTATTTTGTACGTTAAATTAATAATTTAATTAATTATAAATAAAGATAATAAATTACAAATGTTTTAATATAAATCATCATAAATCATGCAACATCAAAAAAAATAAAATAAAAAGTAGATATACGGGTACATACTTACATACAATACACATAAATTACAAAAGCAATCAAAATAACCAAATAGCTAACTATCCTTATCCTACACAAGATATGCGCAAAAGACAGGAAAAAACCCGTAACGTCAATTTCAATTTTCGAGTCACAAGCAATTGAAATATTTAGATATAGGATTTAGAACAAAGAAATTATAGAGTTGATTTAATGTTAATATTATTTATAAAATGACTTTTTATTAAATGTTAGTAATAAATAACTGACGAAATATTGTTGTATTCCTTTTACTGTTTGGAGTTATCAATCAGAAGTCCGAAAACACATTTGCCCGAAATAATGTTTGCTCGAATTTTTGTAATCCCAAACGTACTTTTTTTAAATTATTTTAGGAATATTACAAACTACCTTAATCGTTTCTTTATGATACGCAACCAAACTCCCCTGAAAGCATAACGGTTTTGTTATAAATCGGTTTTCGAGATTATGAAACTTTGAGTTTACGTTTAGTTCAAATCCAAAAATTCGAAAAATCGCACTTCGCACAATGCACGTCGGAACTATCAACAGAGAAACACAGCCATTTTCACATTTATAATATTTGTACCTATATATATCTGCACAACATTATTACTTGAAGTGAATTCGTATAAAATTCAACATAATACCATAAAATTAATTAATATTGACATTAAGACTACTCCATCACTCTTGTGTTCAAGTAGTTTTCAAAAAAGAAGCTAAATATGGTGCATTTTGTTATTTCCAGTAGAAGCTAACTTTGGATTATTTATGGGCCTTTAAATTGTGGCAAACAAAATTAAGCAATACTGCAATGACTTAACAATTTAAATTAAATGTTTTAGTTATTTTTTATATTTCTATTCATGTCACTGTATGTTTGTATAGGTTAACTCCGGCCATGCTTGTTTTTGGTTTTGCTTGTTTGCTTCAACGCTGACCGCAAAAAGTCGGAAAAACTCCGGACGTTTTTTCGCGGTTTTTGATTAGACTTTGGATTGTATATATTGTTATCCATTTATTGGTAAGTCAATGGGCAATCTCCTTTGGCAAATACAAATAAAACAATACCACTGTTACACGACTCGCAAAATTGCAAAAAGAAATCCTCTACATCCAGTCTAGTCAAGGATGGGATTACATTTTTCATATATGTGATTAACTAGTACTTAATACATATAGATACCGTCACGTCGGTAACTTTTCGTCTCTAGTATATTCATGAGAATCGATTTATTTTTATAGGCCTATTCTGGGTACTAACATGACATGAATGTGTGTTTTATCTGTGTATTTGTAAAAATAAACTAGTGTTGTCGATTTTTGTTTGTGTGAGACCATAGTGACAATATTGCAGTTGAGTGCACCTGTTTGCTTGAAGTACTACCTGGATTAGAACACATGGGCCTATCAAATGGCCACTTCGCACTACTCTTCTGACGCCCCTTCATTTTTTTCTCTGTTGCTATGTTAGAAATTAAATTTTAAAAATACAACAGTGTTCAAGAATTGAACACTGTTGTATTGCAGTACACTTGCAGCAATTTTCATCGGAATCTATTCGAGTAAAATTTCAGCCGCTACTTGCTCTTTGCGGAAGAAAGCGAATCGATGCATCCGCCAAGGCGGCAATCAATTTGAGAACTTACCATCATAGACTTTTTATGTTATTTTGCTTTTTGTTAATGTTTTTATTTTGAAATACATAATACAATTTGTTAGTTTCCTTAACTACCTAGAATATATGATTACTAAATATGTCCCAACAAAATGTATGGTAAAAAGTTTTATGCGATTTCTGACATTTCGAGTACTCTTACCTCAGTTGGTCCCATAGAGACTCGTGATCCTTATAAAAAAATGTTATAAAAATTGCCTTTTATCTTCCTGACTGTACTATTTATTCAAAATATGTGAATGCCAATCAAACTATCTTCAAAATTCTTCGATAGTCTTCTAGAATCGTTTTCCTGTAACTACAACGATTAAGGTACCTGGCCTTGCTGCCCCGTCTCAAATTAACACCCTTTATAGTTGAAGCATTGGCTAGATGTAACGCTAAAGAACTCGAGCATGCAGATGAATATAAGACAATGGCAGCATAATGCTTTCCCCGTATTAAACGTTTTCCTGACAACTACAACGCGAGTTTTAGTTTCAGTTCCACTGCCCCAATCTTCAATTAACCAAGTGTCGGGATATTTGTATTTAGTAGGTATTCTTTACGTTCATTCTAAGGCTGGTCTTCACACTACACTCGTTCATCCTGTCAACGATTTTTGAAACTCCGTTTTTGTAGAATGAAACACTGTTGCACTGTTAAGAAAGAATCTTTTCTTTCTTTTCGGAACCATGGATAACTTTGCTTCTTTCATTTCTTAAAAAGACACGCTAAATAAGACTCAGTTAACAGCAACTATAGAATTGGTTACTTTAACTGAAAGATCAGCAGTATTTTGTGTCTATCAAGGTTATAATAATGTTTTTTGTGGTTGTGAGTAGGGGAAAGGTACCAGATGATTCCCTTAAGGGAGAGTGATGATAGAAAAGATATTCAGCTTCAAGTATAAAACATTTATCTGTTTACATGTTATGTATATTATATTACTGTATAATACACTAGTATGTAGTAGTATGTTACTATATAATAGTATCAGTATCTATACTGATACTACTATATTGTCTTACTAACAACGTATTACATTATTTTATTTGAATATTTTTTAAATCCTACCAAAGGATCGTCTTGGACACCGGAGTATCCAGGATGATCCTAAGGGTATGGGCAAGATGATCCAGGGGACCACCTTACCCCTATTACGAGAAATTTCTGAGTTTTTCTGAGTTTTGGTAAAAATAAATTAAAACAACAACTTTCTAAACTTCACAGTCTTTATTTATGTAATCTTATGGAACTTCGAGATCAAATAATCTTAATTAATTTCTTACCTCGCAGGGTGTAGGTACCTAAGAGTGGACGATATTATTTCTTATTGCGAGTTGACATGCCAACGACGAAACATCTTGTTGCAATAGCCCATTCATCCTCGTCTTCAATTTCTCTCTCTTCTCGATTTCCTGTTCTGTTTTGAAAATAGTTTTTTTTTTTTTCACCTAAATATTTCGTTACGCCGACAGCCCCTTTCTTTTTACCCTTCTTTTTAATGACGTAACGTGTACCTATTGCGATTGTTTACTTGCCGATCTATATGGCATCCTAGTTTTAATGAATCCAGTGCTTTAGATTAGGTATAGTCTTCCGACCACCCACGTCGATTCGTTTTTCTTTTATGATTATGCGGCCTGGTCTAAAACAAGATAAAGTTATATTTGTTATTAATCGAGATCGATCATGTAAACTAAATCAAGTCTTCTACTATATTATTTGTATTGCATACTATTTAACTTTTTGTTGTGGCGTTATGTAATAAATGGATTCTATTCTATTCTATTAACTAAGAGGTTTACGTACCTACTTAAAAACATACAATTTAAAAATAGTTCGTTAACAATCATGGATCATCTCGTACGCCAATACCATAATCATCTTGCCCCAATTTATTTATTTTTATTTTTTGTTCGCCAACCTAACCTGTATGCTATCTACTGTTACCATGCCATTAAAAAGTAAATACAGCATTATACAAAGCCTCTAACACAAAAGTGTTTTCAATTGATTGCTTAAAACGGAAGTTACCTAAGCTTTTGATCAACCTTACCTAAGATGAAAGTCACACAATTTTTTCGTAGTTTTTGTATTAGACCCGTCGTCCATTTATTTGTAAGTCAATGAATGGGGGCCTACATTTTACCAAAGAAAATGTCTAAGGGACGTTACTAGATTCGGTACAATTGAAAAGGATCATCTTACCTCAAAGGATCATTTCGTACACCTTTCCTACAACATTAAACTATAAACCAGTAAGACTATTTTCTTTTAGTAAGGAGTCAGCGGCGGTACGTGACGACATTAACGACTTATTGGAGATTGGAACATTGATAATTAAAAAAATTATATATTTTAACATCTTTAAGTTGCGAGGCTTAACTCTTACAGTTTCGCTGTTTATAATGTTACAAGTCGTCTTTACTGCATCCGCCTTGTTCTTGAATATATTATTTGTAAATATTGATTTAGCTGCGATACAAACACGCTTAACTGTTTTCGAATACTTTCGAATACTTTATAAGAAAATAATAGGCACTTTCACCGTAAAGTTCATAAAGCATTTCAGGAGCCGCTATTTATCGACACATATAGCAATCACGATGATGACTCTGTTTGCAAAAACGATGCAACAAAGACATCAGCAACAGACGAAGACTATTTTTTTTCGCTTTTGATTCTGTTTTTTTTTTTTGCTATGTTTCGATCATTTCAAATCTCGTTTAATCTAACTTGCTTGTAACATCTCAATTTTATTTTATAATCCATGTTAAATAAAACTACAATAGATACATCTAAATGTAGAACATTATATGACTGTTCGAATCGTATATTTTCATTTTTTTGCAAATTTAGAAAAAATATTTGGAAAAATTTTTTATTTGAATTTTTTCGAATAATTACGCATCACTTTTATGCTACTTAAATATTGCCGTTCGTAAGTGCATTTAGATATTAAAATAACATAACGGAAATACCAAATTTCTTTAAACCAATAATAATATGTATATGTACACTATAAATTTACAGGGTATAAAGGCAGTAAAGGCGATATTGGAGACACTGGCTTCAATGGATTCAAAGGCGTGCAGGGTGACAAAGGTAGAGACGGCCCCAGCGGGCCGCAGGGAGTTCCTGGAATACAAGGGTTTGTCGGCGAAAAAGGTGATATGGGTCCATACGGTGAACCAGGAAACCCAGGGCCACGAGGGATCAATGGCCTTCCAGCTTCAAAAGGGCAGAAAGGTTTTCGAGGCGATATCGCACCGCGTAATTTACCTGGTGAGAAGGGTCGCGATGGACTTCCCGGTGAACGTGGTAACGAAGGAGAACCCGGTTACTCTGGTACTCCGGGCCGAGCTGGACCTATTGGAAATAAAGGCGAAACAGGTCCACCTGGAGATATCGGATTAATGGGACCTGAAGGATCACCGGTAAATTCTTATTATTTATATATTATTTAATAAGATTTTGAAAGAAACACAAACACTAAGAAAAATTCCTTCGTTCTGGCTGGATTCGAACCAGAGCACCAGAGCACGAGCTACGGAACGAATCACCAGACCTTACGATTTTTTCTATGTGCTTGTTGCAGGTCTTTGTTGTAGGTTTTCTGCCGTAGCGCCATGAGTGAGAAATCTATTTCTTCACTCAGAAGACTCACTTTAAAACATCGTGATATTCAATAAATTTAAAAATTACATTATAATTAATTTGTAAATAAATAAATAAAACTCGTTTTACGTCCCTGTAACATTTTCCCTCAGCATGTTTCAAGTATACTCTAGCCAATGGGCTACTACATTATAATTATATAAATATACTAATTAATTTTAACAGGGCCGTAAAGGTATCTCTGGAGATAGAATACAAGGTGCCCCAGGATTACCTGGTCGACCGGGGTTACCAGGTTCCAGAGGTATACTTGGAGAACCAGGTCAACAGGGAAAAAATGGAATATCTGGTGATATAGGACCGAAAGGAGCAAAGGGAGAAGCAGGCCGTGGAGGAGTACGGGGTTGGCCCGGCGCACCAGGGCCACCTGGAAATATAGGTTTTCGAGGATTGATGGGAAAACCAGGTTTGGCTGGAGAAATTGGCCAACGAGGTGAACCTGGAGGTCCGGGATATCCTGGACGCACGGGAAAACCCGGGCCCCCTGGTTTACCAGGACTCAAAGGTATCCGAGGAGATCTTGGTTCACCCGGTAGACCTGGCTTCGACGGTAAGCCCGGTCCAAAAGGAGTAATGGGTGCCTATGGCTTTCCGGGCCCCAAAGGATTCAAAGGTGATGATGCTTACAGCGGTATGAAGGGTGATTTGGGAGAACCAGGACTTCCGGGGTATTCAGGGCGTCCTGGTTTTGACGGTCTCAAAGGAAAAAAGGGAGACATCGGAGATACAGGCGTAGCAATCGGAGGATATGAAGGTAACAAAGGAGAGAAAGGTAATCCTGGAGCACCTGGAAAAACTGGACTTCGAGGAGATAAAGGAGACGCAGGCGAATTCGGCCCCACGGGGGAAGCAGGTGAAATCGGAGACGATGGATGGCCTGGCGCTTACGGCCGCCCTGGAAAACCTGGTTTTGATGGATTAAAAGGAAACAGAGGTATAATCGGACCGACAGGAAGACCGGGAATTAAAGGTGACAGAGGAATTGATGGTGAACCTGGTCGCATGGGTATACCCGGGCTTCCTGGAGATATAGGGTATGTAGGACCTGACGGTGAACGCGGACTACAGGGTGAAAAGGGAGTTAGAGGAGACCCTGGTCCAAATTACTTTCACAGCGGAACAAAAGGTGATATGGGAGATATGGGTTTGACGGGATCTCCTGGAGAGAAAGGAGAAAAAGGTTACTCTGGCTATCCAGGTATCAAGGGCAGAAAAGGCGAGCAAGGGGATATAGGTTTAAAAGGAGAGACCGGTGACGATGGTCTGCCTGGTATTAAAGGTCCCATTGGTGATATAGGTCCTCCAGGATTGCCTGGTTTAGAAGGCATTAATGCCGAAAATGGTGAACCAGGCAAACCCGGCATTGATGGACTTCCCGGTTGGTATGGACCTATGGGACAAAAAGGCGCACCAGGCGAATTCGGTCCTGATGGACCTAAAGGCATAAAAGGTCGCCCCGGCCTGAGTTTCCAAGGGTCAAAGGGTATTAAAGGAATGGATGGTAGACCTGGTAAAATGGGATTCCCAGGCATACCAGGTCGTCGTGGTATGGAAGGAGCACCCGGATTCCCTGGGGTCAAGGGTAATGTCGGGAACCCAGGTTATAGTATTAGCCCCAAAGGTGAACGTGGTCAAGCGGGATGGATAGGATTTGAAGGCGTTGTTGGTGATAAGGGCGTGACTGGTAACTTTGGGAGAGATGGTTATCCTGGGTTACAAGGTGAACAAGGTCCCATGGGTATTAGAGGTGACCAAGGTCCAACGGGCAATACTGGTTATCCCGGTAACAAAGGTATGAAAGGTGATAAAGGAGAAATGATTAGTGCAACCGACTTACATCCTGGACCTACCGGTTCAATTGGCTTGCCAGGTTTTGAAGGAATACCAGGTGTAGATGGCAGGCCTGGTGATTTCGGTCCAAATGGTATTCCCGGTTCCAAAGGTGTTAGAGGTGACGCGGGTTATCCTGGCAACCCTGGACCTCCTGGTCGTCAAGGTTTACAAGGCCTAAAAGGTTTCCCAGGTGTAAGAGGATTACAAGGACAAACGGGTGAAAAAGGAGTCCCTGGACCTGCGGCTCCATCTGTAATACCAAAATCTAGAGGATTCTATTTCACCGTTCATTCACAAACCAGAGCGGTTCCACAATGTCCAATAGGAACTTTGCCCCTTTGGGAGGGCTATTCTCTGATGCATATTGTAGCTAATGCTAAAGCGCATGGACAAGATCTGGGTAAGCTATTTTTATTCTTTTGTAAAGAGAGTCTAACGAAAAGCTCTTATCATACCTCAGCTGATGATTGTACTTATGATAACATACAACTTTAGCAAAACACTAATTTTAAGTTCGCGCAAAGTAATGTTGATACCCTTTACTATATTACTTATACATAGGCCATACTGAAAGTTTCTGGATTCTGATAAGTAAGACCAGATATTATATTTATAAAAAATAGATTTCTTGTTTTTCAAAGCATAGTATTTTGCATTTGTTGGAACTATTGTGAAAAGTAGTGGAACCAGTCTTCCGTAGGGACCTCTACAATGGTTTGTGGAACGCATTCACCGCAGCATCCGAGTCTGTAAATCGGAAACCTCTAAGTTTATCGTTGATTTTTGGAAATAAAAAGAAATCTCATGGTGCAAGATCTGGGCTGTATGGCGGATGGGTCATCAGCTCCAATTTTAGGGCCTTTAAATGTACATTAGTTACCTTAGCGAAATGTGCAGAGACGTTGTCGTGGTGAAGGACGGGATTGCTTCGAGGACGCTTTTCCTGAATTTTTTCTAACACTCTGGGCAAGCAGGTGTTTACATACCAATTTACAGTTACTGTCCATTGGTCTTCAAGCGCTACAATAGTGTAATATCTAATATAATTATTAATAATTAATTTATTGCAGAAAGAAGCAACCATTTTCTTACCAATGCTCTGACTTTTCTTATCTTTGGTCGGCAACCAGAAATGACCCATTCTGCGGACTGACTTTTTCTTTCCGGTTCAAATCAGTACACCCAGGTTTCGTCACCTGTCACGGTATTATATACAGCCAATTATTGTCCTCCATTAAACTTTTTTTATTATTTTACGGCGCCACTCTACACGTAGTCGTTTCTGGTATTCCATTAAATTATGCGGTATTCATCGAGTGCAAAATTTCATGTATACGCAATATCTTTTGCACCTGGCTCCATTCCCATGCCTACTGTAGTGCGAATTTGCTGACAAGTAATTTTTTTGTCAGGTTCAATAAGTACGGTACGTACGGTATCGTATTAATTCACGTACATTGTCTTGTAGATATGATCACGTCCTATCTAAATTCAGTGAACTACTAATACACGGATTTACAACATAGGATTTCATCTCCAAATGCCAATTGATTAAGAGTCGTATTCTGTCTCAGTCTCTGACAACTCTCGGTCGTATTCTAGAACTCTACTCAATGCTCAAGTCAGGATTTGAGCATGATTCAAAGCACTAGAAATTATACTCAAGTCCTTGCCATTAGGGTCGTATTCCAGAACTCTACTTAATGCTCAAGTCCGGACTTGAGTATGATTTCAAGTACTGGAAATACGACTCTAATGGCAAGGATTTGAGTATGGTTTCTAGTGTATGAAATCATACTCAAGTCGTGACTTGAGCATTGAATAGCATTCTGGAATACGCCCCTTAGGGTCATATTCCAGAACTCCACTCATTGCTCTAGTCAGGATCAGAGTATGATTTCAAGCACTGGAAATACGACCCTAATGGCAGGGACTTGAGTATGATTTCGAGTTCTTTAAATCATACTCAAATCCTGACTTGAGCATTAAGTAGAGTTCTAGAATACGATCCTTAATGACTTAAGCCACATCGAAAATCGTTCAAAATCATGACCCGAAAATTGTCACGACTGAAATTCATTGTAATAGCGACTTTGTTTTGAAAACGACAACACAATGAAAAGGAAAAAACAAATGACAGTCTCATAAAGTAAAAAGTAACCTCCTCACAGAGTTCCTTTTTCAAATTTCGTATTTTTTTTCGTTTCTTTTACAAGTGGCCAGTTTCAGGAACATTCAGTATGGCTCACGTGTGCGATTGATTATGCACATTTTGAAGTAATATTTTTCTCATAAATTCGTATACAAAGAAGACCTGACGACCTTTTTGTTACACTCTAAAAGTGAGGTATGGTAATAATCGTAACTAGGTACCTAATGCAAAATCTTCATTTTGTCATAATTTTAGGTGCCCCAGGAAGTTGCCTTCGAAGATTTTCTACTATGCCATATATGTTCTGCAATTTGAATGATGTTTGTGATTTCGCACAAAGAGAAGACTATAGTTTCTGGCTGTCAACTCAAGAGCCTATGCCCATGGCAATGACTCCTATACAATCAAGAGACGTTAGAAATTACATATCTCGGTAAGTTAATCAGAGGCATTCTACATACACAATTAATTATATATATTAACACAATGTCAGAGAGTTTTTGTACTTAATATAATGCAGTACTTAAACCTTTAATTAAAATTGTCACTATATCTACTTGTATTAAATAAAACGAGTAGGTACGGACAAAGACTCGTTCCTCTGAAACCTAAAGTGTACAGCTGCCGTCTAGGCGGCTAAGTGATAAATGGTCAAATATCAGTTTTAATAGAAAAAAAAACAACATTCTCTTTTAAAAACAGTTAAAATTTATTCACGTGTTCGACTTATCGGGACCTACCCTTTTTTTTTTTAACGATGCATAGCTGAAATATCATTAAACAATTTCAATATTCTAAAACTGGGTTATGGTATTTATGATATTTCTCAAAAAAATATTTTGTCACTTATCCGCGTTTTTTGTCAGCGGAGGGCAGACAGCATGTTGTCACGGAACATACTCAATATAGAACTTATGTTACTATCACATACTAATCTCTTGAGGAACATTTTTATCCACGCCTGTAACATGAACATAAACGTTCGTCGTCCCATTGCAGATGCCAAGTATGCGAAGCTGCGACGAGAACAATAGCTATTCACAGTCAGAGCAACTTTATTCCGACATGCCCAGACAATTGGGATCAGTTATGGATTGGGTATAGTTTCTTAATGGTAAGAATTGTTATACTTAAATGTTGTACTTAGTATTTTTCATTTCATTTTACATTCGTACGTAATTAAATTTTTATGGCACTGAGACTTCAACGTTGCAAATCTTTCTTTTTCCTTTTTTACCAGCACACAGCAGGGACAGACGCCGCAGGGCAAAGTCTGATATCCCCGGGATCGTGTTTGCGCGACTTCCGATCACGACCATGCATCGAATGCAATGGACTTGGCCGCTGCAACTATTTCGCAACTGCAGTATCGTATTGGCTATCCACCGTTGACGACAATAAGATGTTTGATAAACCTGACCAGCAGACGCTGAAAGTTGATCAAGTATCGAAAGTCAGCAGGTATATTTGTTAATCAACTACATATACATTGTACACTTACGTACATGTAATTAAAATACTAGTGGTCCCATTTAATGAAACACCTATATTATCGCCTATCGCTGCGTTCCCAAATAGCTTACTTGATATTTGCATAACATTTCAGATGTGCCGTATGCATGAGAAGACAAGTACATAATTTGCAACCGTATCCGACAGGCAACTTAGGTAGAGTACCCCAAACGGTTCGCAGGCCAAACCCACGGCGGCCACGGCAGCGGACCCATCGCAGGGGATATCGTCTTGTAGGTGACAATCAAAGACAGTGATACAATTAATGTGTGATATCTAGGCATAGTGACTATAATACCTGCTTGCATTAAAATCCATCTACAAACGTACAATTAGAAACTTACTCCATTATTCTGTACTGTATTTAGGCATCTGTTCATTAATTAGGTAGCTGTTAATAATAGCGTTTACTGCAATGAAGAGCTTTAGTACTTTGATACTTACTTTGACACGAGTAACTTTTCGTAGAGTGTGTACGACATAGAATGTCTATTTCGACGTGCGAATGTATGCTGATGACGTAGAATATTAAACACTGCCACTGTTAATAATATTAAAGCCTTATAGTAATTATGTAGTAAATTAAAATTTACTTTAATAAAAAAATATTTTAATTAAAGTAAATTTTTAAATTAAAATTTATTTTAATTTAAAAATTAATTTCATATTATGTATGTTAATAAATAACACAAAATAAATGTATGTATGTATTGTATTTCCAAAATCTGATTTGCATATAATATAAATATAATTATATAAATACTTAACATTGAACAGGGTTTTTACCTTTGTTAAACTGCTGCCATAATAAATTGTAAATAACAAAAGCAATATTAAATACGTATTGTTATAATTTTTAAGTAAATAATCAAAAAGAACTTGAAATCATGTTCAGTATACTTAAGTGGACCTCACAAAAATTACAAAGATTCTATCTATCAAATGTGTAAAGTTTATAAACTTGAAAGGTATGGTAGTAGTTTTTAAGAATTAAAAAAGATTATATAAATTTTACAGTTTTTTATTTCAAAATTAACTTCACAAGTTATTCATAAAATAACTATTTATGTACAACTGGTATTAGTTATAATTTATTCAATGTGTTTGGTGACAGAATCTAGATGTTTTAATTTGTGATCATCTAGATTTGGCCTTGCTTCATAAGTGCAAATAGTTACCCCATGCCTATGTCCAGGAGTCCATTCTCCTCTTAACCCTATATAATAAATTTTTGTAGTGTCTGCCCCAAAGTTGCACGGAAAATGCATAGTAAGATGCGTTACCGACGAAAATGTGACAATCCTGAAAAAAAAAACAAAAACGATTACAATTAATAAATTGCCTAAAAAGTAATTAATAATTCCAAATTACTTTATTAAAGTTTGACAAGAAGAGCTAAGCAATCAGCAAAAATAAAGCACCTACTTAAAGCAGGTCTGAATGTATGTTGTAGCCAACAAATGTGAGCCTACACAATGATATAGATACGTGAAGATTCGAAAATGTCCTAATTGAAGTGTCTTGCCATTAGTCCTCGTCAAGCAAAGGAATGAACGGCGTGCCTTATTCCAGCGTAACCATGGTCGAGTTTTTGAAAATTTTATTATATTTACGCCGTTTTGAAGTTATTAAGGTGTTTTATTGTCCACGTTGGAATAAGCTAATTCCATCGGCATCATTTTTGAATCTCGAAAACCACAGCTCCTAGCTTAGATCTGATTGCACTCGGAAAAAGTCGCGAATTAGTCGGTTCTAGTCGCAAGAGTTTACAGCGCGTATAAGCGCATCGTCGGCGCTATAATATTTCGCTAAATTACTTTTTTCTCATGAAAAAGCAGGTTATTAACTGCAAGCCAATGTTTCATTTGTTTAATAACAAAATTAATTTGTTTTACTTTCTAGCTGCTTTTTGAAATGTTCAGTTTGTTCCATGAAATCATAATCTTTTACAAGCTTTTTCAAATGTTCAGTCTGATCCATGAAATGATACCGCGCAGCCTTTAAAATATGGCTATTACTTTTATTTCAATCTGTTCCTATCTTTTGTACTACTCATAACCAAAATTTGTAAGCATGTACAGTTTGTATAAGCTGTGCGAAAGATTTAATGTGTCTGTGTTACTATGTAGAAGTGGTCATTATTACACAATAGAAAATAATGTAATGCATTATTCTTACGCAACGTATAACTCACTATCGAACAACTGTCTAAACAGCTGTTGTTATACTACTATTCTGCTGTTGTTATACTGCTATTCTGCTGTTGCGATTACGTCGCGCGAACAAGCAGTATGCAATAGCAAATAAGCAGTGAGAGAGAAATGGCGCTAATCAAATGTATGGATGATGCTACGATTTGCAAATCTTACGATTATAATCTTTCAATGCACAAAATAAAGTGCACTTTCGTTCATTTTATTGTTATCTATTATGTTATTGTTAGTCACACATTAGAAGCTACGATTTTGTGCTTTATGCGATTGGAATAATGTAGATTTTAATATTAGTTATCGACAGGCAGTTAAAATCAATAAATTTGAAATGAAATGAATTTCCTCAAAAGTTACGATTATTGCCTTCAAAACACAAGATACTTACATATTACGCGAAAAGATTAAGTTTCGAAAAATGTAAGAAATGTAACCATTAACCCGGCGAGTATGAGGTGAGAAAATGTTACACCTAGAATGAGGCAGGGTATGACATACCCGAATTAAATGTACGCTTGAAAATTTTTATATGATATATAATATTTTTTTACTGTTTGTATTAGGTAACTAACGTCTCATTAATGAAATAAAATAAAAAAAAGTGTTGTTATAGTGAAATATTAATTATTTATTTATATCTTTTTAAACATTGTAATTAAAGGAACAAAATCATAAAGGTTTCCAAAACCTAACAAAACTAAACAAAATATTATTCTAAATAATGAAAATCAAATTCAAACTTAAAATTAATGAGATCTTGTAATAAAAAAATGTAATATATATTTTTTTTCTCTTAAAAATATAGTAAGACACTTTAATTGAGATCAGCACAATTTTGGCATAAAAATTTTGCGTGTTCCATACAGATGGGCTTTGCGCAGGTGTTACATATATATTTAGTCTTCCGATCTTTCTTATTTGGACATTCGCGACATCTCACATACCGCCCAGGCATATTAGCAGAGGCTCCAGGTGTAGGATCACCGAGCTGACTTGTGATTCGCTGACGAATGTGAAATGGGATGTTTTTTTTTTCTTTTCTTGATTCTAGATGTTCATATATCAGCGATAGGCCCAAATTGCGAATGAATTCTGTTCTCTTTACAGTAGCACTTTTATTTGCTTGATAAATAATGTAAGCATTGATAGAAGCCATGTTCAAAATCCCATAGAACAACGTCATGGGCCAACGTTTACTATTTCGAGAAACGTTGTAACTGGCGCTCAATTCATCTACCACGTCCACACCAGCTTTGGTTGAGTTATAAAACGTTATAATTTCTGGTTTGTTTTTCTCACCTGTAGATTGATCTATTGAGTTGTCATGGTGCATTGTGGACATAGCTATAACGACTTTGTTTTTTTTAGGCGCATAGGAAACAATTGTAATGTCCTTTTGAAATCCGAAGAGTGAAGTTGCAGGTTCCCTACCAGTTCTGGTAAAAGAATCGGGAATTTGTCTCTTATTTTTTCGGACAGTTCCAGTCGATGTAAGACGATGCTCATTAAGTAAATGTAGCATTAATGTGTAACTAGTAAACCAGTTATCAAATGTGACGTTACGGTGTGAACGTGATACTGGTTGAATGAGCCTCTCCACTACATCAAAAGCTGTATTACTGACCGCATATGGTCCCAATGGCTGTTTGCCTGCATATACTTCAAGGTTTAAAACATAGAAGGATTTGGCGTCCACTAAAGCGAATATTTTAAGCCCGTATTTCGCTGGTTTGTTTGGGATGTAGACGCGGAATAGGCACCGTCCTCGGAACGAAAGCAACATTTCGTCGATGGTCAAGAATTCGCTCGGAGTGTATGCGTTCTGACAGCATTGAACAAACTGATCAAACATGCTTCTGATAGCTGCCATGTTATCCGTTTTTTTGCGTTCTTCACGCGTCGATTTATCATCAAATCGAATGCTATTCTGAAGAAAATAAAATCTTTGCAGCGACATGGTGGTACGAAATACGTCAACACCAGTACCATCAGTTCGCCACAGGTCCTTCAAATTCTGACGATTCGACTTGGTGACGCCTGCTATATATAACAAACCAATGAATGCCTTTAACTCACTCATAGTGATTTCTTTCTTGTGGACAGCATTTGGGTCATTACTTTTGACTTGACTTCTACGAATTTCTGAGTTCGTGTGTAATAACGTTTCGTCTAGCATACTTTGAGTGACAAAAATATTCCAGCATTTACTCTCTGTGTCAGCATCTCTTGCACCAGTCTTTACTAGAGCCCGTTCGGTAACTATGTTTTCAGACCGAAGCCTTATATTCGGGCGCTGGCAGTTTTTATACCACTTTGTACCGTCTTTAGAACTATAATAAGATCCACCAACCTGTCTAGAACAAAACATTCTGGATCCGAGAGCAGACAGTGGTACGTCATCATCGGAGTCACTGTAAGTTTCGTTTGCTACCACTGTTTCTTGCCCGGAGTTAGATAAGAGATCAACTGGATCATCGGCCTCCTGCTCCGTGTCAGAATTCACATTATGATCACTACAGTGATCGGTTTCCCCTTCTGAACTCGATTCATATGAAGAATCAGTTTCCACCTCCTCTAGCATGGCCCTGATCCGATTTTCTTGTGCCTCAATATTCATTTTTCACCATATACTAAAAACAATATATAAGAAAATTAAATGTAAAAAATTAAATGTAAAAAAAAATAAAATAAGGTGTAAAAACATTTTACATAAAAAAAATACATTAAGTATGACGCAGGGTATGACATACCCGAGAGAGGTTTGAGCGCGAATATCTCGTTCGGCGTCCTGCGAAACACTGCGACCACGCCACTATCCCCTCCCGCACACCACACACTCCAGCTACTCAACGCGCCAGTGTTGTTAGATAATTATTAAAAACAATAAATAACTTTAAGTGAAGGTCTGGGTATGAGATACCCTGCCTCATACTCGCCGGGTTAATAGGGAAAGGCACTATTTGCAAAACTACAAAACAGCTGAGTAAAAAGTTATCTGACAAAAGTTTACTATTACAGAATTATTAAAAAATCGCACAACAGTATAATTCATTATCGACAAACAGCCGTTTTAGCCATATATAACTATGAACATAACATATCTTTTGTGATCATTGAGCCAGTCTCAATGAAATTAAGCTTAATGTAGTAATAGGACTTCAAAGACTTACTTTGGGGAGTACTCCAAGTTCCCTTGACTGTCTCTATGTAACTCAAAAACTTGATCTGGTTCCATGGTCACATCATCAAATGTCAAGTTTGGTTTATTCTTAAACCTATAACAATAATCTGTTTCATTATACAAATATATATATATGAATATACAGTGTGTTAGGTTAAACAAGGGACTTATTGAGGGAGGGTATTCAGTATTCGATTCTCGTCCCGAATATGTAAAAAACCTATAACCTAAATTTTTGACGTAATTGTCCAATAAAATACATCATCATGAACACTGAGCGCGCAAGTGAACTTGTAAACAGAGCGTAAGCCCCGCCCCTTTCCTTTGTGTAGTACCCGATGCGCCGACAGGACACGCGCCCGCGCTGACCGCAGTCTTTGCGAGTGCGCCGCTATTTCCGTATGTTAATTGCGCTTCCGCGTATCTTAAAACAACCCCGCTTACTTCGCGATTAGTGTGTTCCGTACGTAACGTGTCAAAATGCCGTCTTATCAATATTCCAATGAAGAATATTGGGATATGGTTCGTACCTACGCGTTGTCGAATGATAGTGTACGAGGAGCTATTAATTTGTACCGAGAGATGTTTCCCAACCGCCAGATTCCGTCATACAACCTTATGCTAGGTGTCAACCAACGATTGCGAACGTTCGGTCAGTTTACCGTACCGACACATGCCCAAGGACGAGGAAGGGAGCCATACCCAGTTCATCTCCAAGAAGCCATCTTGGAATACTTCGAGCATCACCCACAAGAAAGCACTCGAAATGCTGGAAGACGTTTCGGTGTATCACACTGGACTGTGTGGAAGCTGATGCATGAAGAAGGAATGCACCCATACCATTTTAGACCCGTTCAGGAACTTGGGGTCAACGACCACGAACCACGGGTGAACCTTTGCCGCTGGTTTTTGTCTAATTTAGACAAAAACATTTTATTTACCGACGAAGCCACATTTACACGAATGGGGATATTTAATGTGCACAATGAACATTGGTGGAGTGATCAAAATCCTTATGTTACGCGACAGGACGCTTATCAACACCGATTTAGTGTTAATGTGTGGGCAGGTATTTTAAATAATCGTTTAATAGGCCCGTACTTTATTGACGGAAGACTTGATAGTGTATCATACCTTAACATTTTAAACAGTGTGGTGGATGAAATGTTGGACGATGTGCCTCTTAGTGTTTACCGAAACCTCTTTTACCAACACGACGGAGCGCCCGCGCACTATCAGGTGCGCGTACGTGAGTTTTTAGACACTAATTTTGGTGACAGGTGGATAGGTCGTGGTGGGCCAGTGCCATGGCCTGCTCGCTCTCCAGATCTCACTCCATTAGACTTTTATTTATGGGGTGAAGTGAAAAGAATTGTGTACGCTACGGAGTACTCAAACCGGGAAGAGTTAAAGGTACGTATCACGAACGCTTTTAATAGTGTAAGAAGTGATCCGTTTGTTCTTAACCGCGTTAAGGACAATTTGCGAAAACGTGCTGAACTATGCATATCACGAGGAGGTGCGCATTTCGAACAATTTTTAAGATTAGTTTAAAATTATTGTGTCAATCAAATTAATTATTGTAAATAGTCAATCAAGTTAATCATTGTAAATAAGTGTGATTCCATTTTTTAAATACGCCAAAAATACTAAGTAAGGATAATAACTTTGTCTTAAATTATTGCGAATCACAATTCACATGTGCACTGTAATTGTTTAATGTTTCGTACCTACCTAGATATTTTTGCCTGTCCTAAGCCAGGTTTAAAGTATGAAGGGAAAATGGATTCTACCGCACATGAATATCTGAGATAATATTAAATCGTTGCGTTGGCGCTAGGGTGCATACACGTTTTGAGACTTTTGTGATTTTTTTTTTATGGTTCTGTCTGTTATTTATCAGTGTTTTTGTTTCGTTTATATGTTTGTTAGGTTCATGTAAGCATACACTATTGTGGGTTTGAATATGTCCCTCGTTTAAACTAACATACTGTATAATAATATATATTTTATAAAATCATCAATATAATATATTGTATCACCTAGGTTCAATTTATATTGCGTTGGAATGGCATGGAAGCGATATCGTTACAAAAATTCGCTTCCATTCCGTCCCGCCACAATATAAATTGAGCCTTGACCTACTAACAAACGTCGGGTCTAGTACAAAATCCACGAAAAAAGGTCCGAAGTTAACCTATACGTAGTGACGTGTAACGAAATATAAAAAAAAACCTAAAACATTTAATTTTAATTGTAACGACATTGTAATACTGCCTAATTTTGCTTGCAACAATTTAAGAGCCCAAAAACACCATATTCAGCTTCTGCTGGAAACTTAACAAAATGCACCATATTTAGTTTCAACTGAAAATTATTTGTATACAAGAGTAATGGAGCAGCCTTTATTGTAAATATTAATTAATTTTTATATACCTACCTATATTATTATGTCGAATTTGGTACAAATTATGTAATTGTACAAAAAATGTAATTTATAAACGAAATAATAAAGACTTGGGCAGATACATACATACAAATATTACAAATGGGAAAATAAGCGTGTATTATAAGCAGGGATCGGATTAGGTAGAGTTTTTTACCTAAACTTCGAGGAACATTGACAAAAATGGAGACTGCCTTACGACCATATTTTTTAGGTCCCAGGACCTTTACGGGATTGGGGAAATCACTTAAGAACATTAAAAATTGACGTAATTGGGGACAGGCTGGTATATTTATTTTAACTTTGCGACCCACAGTGGGTCGGATCTGCGATATTGCGGACATTGGATCTGACAAAATCTTGGATTGAATCATTGGATCTGAAAATGTGACATGACAATATTTAATTAGGATAATAGGCATCTCGATTGGCATTTTTAAGAGAGGTATCGTGAAAAATCCAATGTCCGCAATATTGCCGATTCGACCCACGACGTTTTATTGCAACACCAATTTTTCCGAATAAATAGGAAAATTTTGTTAAAAAAATTCTAACTTAATACATGTAATTAGAATTATTAAGTATAGCTTTAGGATCCCGAAGGAATCGTCTCAGCAGGAAGGTAACGCACAATAATGCTACTGAGTGGGTTCCCACCCAATCTGTCGTAGTCACATTTTCTGGTCAATCCCTGTGGAAAACTATCTCCTTTCCACCATTCAGTGCTTGAAATACTGTCGCTTTGGCCATGTCAAAGCACAATGCCGATCTAAACCTCGGTGCTATAAATGCGCCCAACCTCACCCCGGGAAATCATGTAATGTTACTACCCCAACATGTCAGTACTAATTATTAATACAAAGACCGAACACTCGGAAAAAATTCCTTCGATCCGGCCGGATTCGAACCGACGTCTTCAAGCTTACCGTGCCAGACGCTATACCAACTAAGCCACGGAACGAACCAGCGGACCTCATGAATTTTTCTATGTGCTTGCGTCGTGTCTTTGTATTTGGTTTTTTTCAATGACTTTTTAGTCGTAACGCCATCTATGAGAAATTTATCACCCAGTTAGTACCTTTACAGTTACCAGTCCTGGCGAGAGATGTCGCTATTTGCTGTATTTTAAATTTTTATTAAATTAATATTCAATTATTTTTTGTGAAATTACTCCACTAGTTTGTTATAATGATTAATACAAAGATCGAACACTCAGAAAAAATCCCTTCGATCGATCGATTATGTCTGTACTGTTCAGCTCTGCACCAATCTAATGACAAGAACTGTCCTGAACTTTCACGACAAAAGTCAATAAAGCTTGTAATGTCCCAAGAAAAAGTATCCTACTGGGAAGCCTCTGCCCGCTTCAAAGCCGTCAAGCGACCTTTGGTCAACGTTGCATCTGCACCCACACATATATCATCTGTCTCATTGTCCCCTACATAAATTCTCCTCCTTCGCAGGTACCACTTCATACAGAGAAACTGTTACAATAAATCAGAAAGCAAAGTACCCTAGCCAAACCTCAGGCTATGACAAACAAGCCCATAGAAAAAAAAGCGCGGGAAAGCTCGATTTAGGCGGGTTAATTTTTTCGGCTTAGAAATTGAATATTTAATAATAATTGTAATTAGGTGGTCAGGAGTGTAGTATTTGTGTAAATACTATTTATTTGATTGAATATATTGTTTTTTGTGTAAATAGTCATCGTCATCTGGTGAGTTTTATCATTTTTCCTTTCACCTAAAATGGACGAGCCCCCTGATCCAGGGGGCACAGTCCCCTCAGTTGGTAGAAACGTGATTATTGCCTCCAATGATTCCAGTATGGACACGGACCATACTGATAACTCTCTAAAAGGAAGAAAACGTATTCGGCAGCGTAAAATTTGCAAACATTGCAATAAGAAGAAACGTAAGCATAAGTCTCAATCAGACAATGGATGTGGTTGTTCAGATAGCGACATTTGCGGTACCAAGTTTAACAGTACTACAGAAGTTTTCTTGAGGCCCCCATCATCTTCCCCGGTTCAGCCTGTTGCTGCTCCCATACCTACCTCTTCTACGAATACTAACACTACCCAGAAAGACCAGGATTTGCCAGGCCGCCGATTGTTTGAGCATCAAGATATCTCTCCGTATGTAGTTCATGTACAAAGATTAACCACTTCCTTTAATGACGGAACCTCTATACACCCAGTTCACTTTGGATATTTTCTTAAAAAGAATGGTTTTAAAAACATTAATGGTAGTGTGAAAAAGATTGGCAGGAACAGAGTTTCCCTATCCTTCTCAGACTTCCAGAGCGCTAATTTTTTCTTGAATGACACTAGTTTGGTAGCTAGCAATTACAAAGCTTTTATACCTACCTTCAGCATTACCAGAATGGGCCTAGTTCGTGGAGTTCCTGCAGACCTAATCCCCGAAGAAGTGAAAGAAAGTATGTCAGTTCCTATTGGTTGTGGAGATATTGTTAAGATAAGACGTTTAAACTATAAGGTGACTGTTGACAATCAAACTACGTGGAAACCCTCCCAAACTGTAGTTGTGACCTTTGATGGGCAAGTTTTACCAAAAAGAATATTTATGTTTTATAATGCTCTTCAAGTAGAATTGTACATCTTTCCAACTGTCCAATGCTATAATTGT